ATCAGCATAAATGCGGAGAAGTAAGGTGCAAGAATTGCAAAAGGTATTTTCCACCAGGCCATCGATGCTCTGTAGATAAAGTGAAAGCAAAGCCTCCTAATGATCGCCTCATCTTCTACGATTTTGAGACCACGCAGGTGACTGGAGAACATTTCGTTAACTGTTCAATTCTTCAGTACGCTGATGGATCAGAGCATATATTTCAGGGAGAAGATACTCTGGACAAATTTTGCACCTATGTGCTGTCACCTGCTCATAAAGGGTACACTCTCATTGCCCATAATATGAAGGGATTTGATGGACAATTCGTATTAAGATGGCTTCTGGAGCGTGGTTACCAGCCAAAGGTGATCCCGCAAGGATCTAAGATCCTGCAGATTTCAGTGACCGCATTAAGTATCCGCTTCATTGATTCTTTCTGTTTTATGCCGATGGCTTTATGTAAGCTCCCAAAGATGTTTGGACTGCAAGAGTTAGCCAAAGGCTTATTTCCTCATTTTTTCAATACGCCGCAAAATCAAGACTACATAGGTGCGATGCCGGAGCCCTCCTTCTATGGCCCAGATTCCATGTCCTCAGAAACGCGTCAAAAATTCATGGCCTGGTATAGTGAGCATAAGGAGGATGTCTTTGACTTTCGCAAAGAGATGGAGAACTATTGTCGGTATGTATCTAATGTCAATAATATCTATTTATTTGTTAGTTGGCTTTTTTTAAAAATCCTTGGTTGAAATTTGAAAATGTTCAATGTATTTCAGAGGTTCCCTACGTCGTTTTCGTTCGTCGCTTGTGGGGTTTCTGTTGATGGTACGTGGCAGCGCAGAGGTTACACTTCTTAAGGGCTGTGTTGCTGCTTTATCGATAGACACAGGAAAGGTGTTGGACGTAGAAGCTATGTCGTCATTTTACCCAACTTGCAAAAAAATTTCCTCCACAAAATCAAACACAGACAGACAAAATCTTACAGCTGATCATATTTGTCGCTGTAATTACAAAGGAACTGCAGAAAATATGGAAGTTATCGGTGGTTCAAGATTTTTTCAAAAGGTCAATAAAACATCGAGGCCTTGTTTACGGCAAATACTTTGGTGATGGTGATTCAAAAGGTTTCCAAGAAGTAAACTATGTGAAAAGACATTGAGGTAAAAAAGTTTGAATGTATTGGACACGTCCAGAAACGTGTTGGAAGTCGACTTAGAAAGTTAAAAAAGAAAAATCAAAGGTTTATGGGTGAAAGGAAAACTGACCGATACCTTTATTGATAGGTTGCAAAACTATTATGGGATAGCGATACGCAGCAATAAAGGCGACTTAGAAAAGATGCAGCAAAGTGTGATTGCTGCTTTATTTCATTGTGCATCTTCGACCGAGAATCCTATGCACGGACAATGTCCTACAAGTGTTGACAGTTGGTGTTTTTACCAGCGAGCTATTACAGTCAAATTTGCATTTAACACTTTGCATTTTTGTGTTACATTGTATTACGCGATATTTTAAATCAGACATGAAATTTAAAACATCTATCGTAATTATTTTAGTTCAAAACCCAAGTTATTATCTGTAAATAATATATGAATTCTTTTTTACAAAAATTTTGTGCATTTTTTTTAAATAGTTATATAATTTGAATTGACATTTTATGCGGTAAATTTAGCGATTATTATAGTAATGTAATGGTGAACTTACACAGCTGGTAAAAATTAAATTAGTAACCAAATAGTCCAAAAAGTTTATAATTGTATAAAAGAAAGTCTTCATTTTTAAAAAATAGCCAATTTACCTATGTCTAATGATATTTTGCCCTTTGTTTTTAAATTATCTTTGTTTTTGAGTTCTTCTCAAAATGAAAATTTCGTCATTTTTGATTCACGCAAAACACAATAACTCAAGTTCTTTTATATAAAGTTCCTTGAACTAGAATCGTGTAAAAATATTGATAATTGTGATTTTTTATAACCAATTTAACATTTTATGTTCTTGTGTTTTCACGTTCTTTTGCCTATTACCACACGTTACCGTACATAAATATTTTTTTTTTGCAACCATAGCTCAATTATTTTAGCTCACAACCTGTATTAATGTTTATTAAAAATAATTAATTTTATTTTGAGTTAAAATATCAATAATTTGTTCTTCTTGGCTTATTTTACATAAATTTGCAATTCACATTTTATTCAGTAAAATTAGTTGAAAATAATTTTGCGACGTCTAAAAAAATTGATTAAAAAAAATTTAATGCATTACTTTTAAGATAATCCATTTTTAAAAAATATAATTTATTGAATTCATTCACATCGGGCAACTTCATTAAGTTGACAATCATACATCGCGCAATAAAAATATTCGGTTGACAATTGAATTCTTTCTTCTTGGAGCCTAAAGGTAAAAGTGTGTATGTGAATTAATGCATTATTTCATTATAAATTTTTAAAAAGTACAATTTTTCTATAATAAATATTTTGCGCAACTTTATAAATTAACAATCATGCGGCAAATAAACTGAGACAATCAATCGCAGGTTAAGCTCTCCCGAAAATTTCATCATCGTCAGATTCCAAAAGAACAAATCCAAATTGGAAACCACGTGAGGTGATCAATTATCTTGCGCCTAAGTAGCGATTTGCTTTTCACTAATGAAAACTCGCTTGGCGAGATTGGGTAAAGTCAGCTGATTTACTTTGGCGCGGCTTTGCAAGTGGCAGTTGAATGGGCTTGCGCTCTCTACCCCCATAATTTCTTGTACTAACAAAAGAATCAGATGCAAATACCCAAAATGCAAAGGATTTACACAAATCATTTGTGAGAAATGTGGTGTAGGACTTGGTTACAACAAAAGTAACAACTGTTTTAAAAATGTTCATATGAATTAAAACTAAATGACTAAATGGTCGCATATCGTGTCGAAAATCTTAGATACGGCGTGAAATAAACAAAAGCGGCTAACTAAGAGGGCAGGAGTTTATAAATCGTGGACATTGATTCACCACTCCAAAATATCTTTTTCCGTTGAACCAAAGTTTTAATTATTTGGAACCAGAAGACCGACGATTGGCATGCGAACGTGTAAATGATAATTGTTTGAGTTATTCTGTGAAACACGGTGGTGGTAATGTCATGATTTGGGGTGGTTCTGGAGGAGGAAAAGTTGGCGATCTAGTCCAAGTCAATAATGGATTAAAAAGTGTACCAAAGTATTTTGGTTCATCATGCGCATCTGGTATTCACAATATTGGCAACCAGACAATAATCCAAAGAACTCTTCTAAATTATGTTAAAATTATTTAAAAACGAAAAAAAAAACAAAACAGAAAGTGTTTAAAATCATAACTTGGCCTCCACAATCACCTGATCTGAATACTATAGAGAAACTATGGGATGAGTGGGACAGAAGGGTACGAATAATGTGCCCAACTAATATAGTCTCTAGAAATGTCTCCAAGATGCCTGGAAAAATTCAAGTCGTGAAACGTTTGAAAAGGTTCTCTCTAAGGCTGTCATGCGCGCAAAAGGTGGTCATCATTGATGAGAGTAAAATCTAAATAGAAGTTGTGTATATCTGTTGTTTACTAAAAAATTCTTGTTTTTATCGAGTATTAAAATATTGTTGAGAAATGAAATAGTAATAAATTGTTGAAATGAATGAGCATAATTTGTTTTGTTTTTTCTATAGACGATTCACACACTGACCAAAGTCTTTTGCACGATAGTGTATAAGGGTAATCATGATTGACTTTGTTTAGAGTTAATTCGTAAGTGGTGTTTGCTTTCTATGTGACTTTTACTCAATATACAACTAGTATGCATCGATCACATTAATGCAATAAATGAAAAAAATCGCCAACAAAGCAGCATTAGTCTGATTTCTAAAGCAAAGCTCTACACATTTCAAGTTTTCAACTGCTTTACTGCGACAAAATGCATTCATTTAATTATTCTTTAAATACAGTATATTATTCTTAGCTACAGGCAGACCCTGATTTGTTTATAATGTAATGCAACAGGCTCTAACAGATGGGAGAAACTGTTCACTGGGATACCTCGGGATTGTGACACCCGTGTTTACTTGAAAGTAAACTCCCTGAGGAGATTTGATTTGTGCAATGACATGACTTTAAACCAAACATTTTTTGCTTCTACGATTTCTTGTATATTTTAAGCAATCATACAATTTCCATTATAATTTACTTATACATAGCGTAAAATTGCTTAGAAGACTTAACAGCTAAGACACTTCATACTGAAAGATTTGAGAAACAAAGAAATTTTCAAGTCACATATTTAACTACTAAAATAGCACAAACATATTTTCTGCAATCCTAGCTTCTTGCATTTTAAAGTATGAAGTGTATGTAGACAAATATTTCACAAGAATAAAATATTGGAACTTGAACTAGTAGTGAATATTTTAAGTCTGTAAACAACTTTTGTATCACATATCTTTTAACTAAATAACTTTTCTTCCTTGAAATACCACCAGAATACAGTAAAAATTACTTACATTTCGGAAAATACTTTTAGACTGAAAGCCGTAACTTTTGCACACACAAAAAATGGATTCTCTCAAAGGCATTTGTTAATTTTTCCAGAAAAATGCTAAAATCCTGACTTTATTGTAAAGTGGTAGCAAATTCGAATGTAGACAATTGGATAGAATGTTCAACTGTTTTTTCCCCCCAAAATACTTATAAATATAGATAAAATAGAACACTGGGGCACCTCGGGATTGTGACACCCGTGTTTATCAAAAGATAAACCCCCTGAGGTAAGTTAAAATAAGATTTTGCAAGCATGAACTGTAAAACTAAAACTTATTCTAATTTCAACATCTTATACTGCGAAAAAAGATATCAATTTTTGAATACAAATTTATTCAATATAATGCTTATTTTTTAAATATACAAATTACAGCCAGTTATTAATTTAAAATAGGTTAAGTACATCCGGTTACAATTAATAAAATTCCAATGTCCCGGACTTAGTAAAGCATCACACATGCAAAATTGAAACACGAGGAATTTTATTGCAAATATTTGAGTTTACTTACTTTTATCTTAATATGCACATTAGAAATGTGATATATTGAGCAAATATGTATGGCATCAAAATAAAGCTTATCTTTGTATACTTATGTGAACAATACTACATAACTAATATTGCATACTTAAAACTGCTTGCATATACAACTTTCTTAGCAATTAAGTTCTAAATGAAAGCATTTTGGTATGGTTTATAAAAAACATAATCTTAATAATTTTGTCAAGTCTGATAAATCAGCAAATACAAATTAGAAATTAATCCCCATGAGCCCCTGTTTGTACTTGGATCAATTAGACATCCAAAATCTTTAAAAAAAAATAATCATAATTTAATAAAAGGTATTTCAAGACTCAATTATTGAAATTTTACATTTTATTCAATTTGGTTAGCAGAAATATTTGATTTAAATCATTGGTTTTTGAATGTTTTTTTCTTTTTAAGTTTCTTAAATAATTTTTTTTTACATCTATAAGTAAAATTCATAAACATGTAGAAACACCCTCATTTTGTCTTATTAATGCAACTGGAGTTCCTCATATATACCAAAGGATACCTTAGGGGCAACTATGGCCCCTGCCACCAGTCTACGCATAAGGTTCCATATATACATTTTTATAAGGATAACACATGAATGATTAAATAAGATTAATTTGAAGCAATAAAACTGGATTCAATTATAAAAAGTCAGAAATGCTAAATGCTTTCAGTAAGTAATTTCTTTTGAATTACTGAGCAATAAAAAACTAACATGGCTAATTAAGACCCCTAAATTTTTTTAGAGTTAAACAGCATTTAATTTCAAATATAAGTCATTAACATCAGGTAAAAATCATCAAACAAAAACATCAAGTAAAAATAAAATTTTGTTATAAAATAAAATTTCTTTCACTTTAATTTAATCATAAAAAGGAATAATCACAACAATTTCTTACACTTTAAATTTATTAAAATTTCTAACTAAGAAAAAAAAACTTCAACATTCAGTTATGGTTCTTTCATGGAATAGGTCTTAAACAAAGAGAAACTTCGTTAAATTTTTCACTAATAACGTTCTTTTTCATAAACTTTCTAAGCGGTATAGGAACTGTAATACTGCCATCAAGATTTTGAAAATTTTCTAGTATAGTTATTAATAGTCTAGGAATAGCACAGGCTGTTCCATTAATGGTATGACAAAATGACTGATTGCCACCAGGTGATGAATATGTAATATTTAGTCTTCTGCTTTGGTAGTCTGTGCAATTAGAAGTACTAGAAATTTCACCATACAGTTTTTGCGTAGGTATCCAGGCCTCAACATCTATTTTGTGGTAAGCTGGCAAACCAAGTTCACAAGGAGGCATTTCAAGAACTTTAAAGTGGAGACCTAATTCAGAGTATAGTTCTTTTTGAATATCAACAAAATAATTCAACATCTCTTCACTTTCATTACCAGATTCATTGGGTGTTACACTAAACATTTCAACTTTATTAAAATAATGAACCCTGAAAAGAACAAAATAACATTTAATATATAAAGAAAGCTTATTTAGAATCAATAATCAGTGTTTGTGGTTATTGTTTCTAAAACAATTTGAACAAGTGGTGATTCAGCGGAACCAGATCATTCTTCAATGTCCAAAAATATTTTTCTTTTTTAAAAATTAACTCTTAATTTGAATTATGATGCAAAACTTTACTTAAAATATGCATTTAGTGAAAAGTGAGAGAGTGAATGTTGTAGTCGACAACATTCCTAAAACTAGGTTATAAAATTTAAAGCTAGGCTAAAACTAAGGCAACTTGTTTGAAATCGAAAGAAATAAGTAAAAAGTAGAGTTAAATCAAGAAATATAATCCAATATCTTCAACTTCAAGACAGAGCAATAGGCCTGGATGAGGTCTGCCCTGAAGTAAAATTGTTAAAGCTGGGAATTTGCAGCCAAAGTATTGCCAATTTTTATATACAAATTTTAAACAGTGGATAAAAAAAAAACTTGCTTGATCGAGACAAATGGGACAAAAAAAGCAGGGTTCCCACTAAATTTTCAAGGACCTGCGTAGGAGAGAAAAATGATGCATTACTATTTCATCTTCAAGAATTTATTCCTTGGAGAATTTATTCCAAATTTCTATACCATTTCATATTTGATAGCATTATCATAGTAAGATAAGCACACAATCCAAAAGTATCTGCAAGCTCATAATATTTTTGATAATAGAATAATTTTATTAAATAAATAATATTATTAATAAATAATTTTATTAAAGTTGGTTAACTATTTAATGCCTTTATTTATTCTTGACAAAATATATTTATATACATGCCCATTAATATTAATAGTTATACACAAAATTACATTTATATAAAATAGTTATCATATTAAGTAGGGTGATCTGGGGTAATTCCTGATCAAAAAAATGCAAACATCTATTTTGTGAAAAAACTATTCAGAATAGAATTTTAATATTTACTGGAAGTTTGAAACTATATGAGATGAGCCCTATGAAAATCTAATTAGAATTTAAAAGATTTTAAATTTTTAGTGATCAGGAATTACCCCTTGTCATGATCATTTCTGGAGTAATTCCTGATCACTTCTGGGATAATTACTGATCACCAGTTTTTATTGTAAAAGGGCTGTTTGAAAATAATTATGTGAAGGTAATTAACAAATAAGACAAATAAACCAAAAAGATATGGTTAAGCAGCTAATAAAAGGTTTTATTTAAAAGCAAGAAGAACGATTAACGCTTTAAATTTTTAAAAATCTTTGAATCGTGCCGTACAATTTAGGCAATCAGCCAACTCATTCTCATGTTCTTCTCAAATATAAGAGAGTTTCCACATGGGTTACTTTTGCTGGATTTTTTAACTTCATTAAGGGAAAGTGTAAAGTTAAGTAAGGTATGCCAACAGCTCTGGCAGCAGCTCTCACACTGAAATTTTAATTTTCAATCATTAAAAGAAATTCACTAATTTTGTTTTCTAGAAGCTTAGTATCCTTTTTAGGCTTATAATTNTTAAACAAAGAGAAACTTCGTTAAATTTTTCACTAATAACGTTCTTTTTCATAAACTTTCTAAGCGGTATAGGAACTGTAATACTGCCATCAAGATTTTGAAAATTTTCTAGTATAGTTATTAATAGTCTAGGAATAGCACAGGCTGTTCCATTAATGGTATGACAAAATGACTGATTGCCACCAGGCGATGAATATGTAATATTTAGTCTTCTGCTTTGGTAGTCTGTGCAATTAGAAGTACTAGAAATTTCACCATACAGTTTTTGAGTAGGTATCCAGGCCTCGATATCTATTTTGTGGTAAGCTGGCAAACCAAGTTCACAAGGAGGCATTTCAAGAACTTTAAAGTGGAGACCTAATTCAGAGTATAGTTCTTTTTGAATATCAACAAAATAATTCAACATCTCTTCACTTTCATTGCCAGATTCATTGGGTGTTACACTAAACATTTCAACTTTATTAAAATAATGAACCCTGAAAAGAACAAAATAACATTTAATATATAAAGAAAGCTTATTTAAAAACAATCAGTGTTTGCGGTTATTGTTTCTAAAACAATTTAAACAAGTGGTGATTAATCGGAACCAGATCATTCTTCAATCTCCAAAAATAAATTTTAAAAAAAAAAAAGAAATGAACTCTTAATTTGAATTATTATGCATAACTTTATTCAAAATATGTTAGTGAAAAGTGAGAGAGTGAATGTTATAACCTAGTTTTAGGAAAGTTGTCGACTATAAAATTTAGAGCTAGGCAAAAACTAATAAGTAAAAAGTAGAGTTAAATCAAGAAATATAATCTAATACCTTCAAAACAGAGCAATAGGCTTGGATGAGGTCTGCCCTGAAGTAAAACTGTTAAAGCTGGGAATTTGCAGCCAAAGTATTTATTGCCATCTTTTATATATAAATTTTAAACAGTGGATAAAAAAAACTAGCTTGATCGAGACAGATGGGACAAAAAACAGGGTTCCCACTCAATTTTCAAGAAAATTTCAAGGACCTACATAGGAGAGAAAAATTATGCATTCCTATTTCATCTTCAAGAATTTATTCCTTGGAGCTCTTTGAAAATTGCGTTAGTGCAAATTTCTTTACCATTTCATATTTGATAGCATTATCATAGTAAGATAAGCACACAATCCAAAAGTATCTGTAAGCTCATAATATTTTTGATAATAGAATAGTTTTATTAAATATATGAAGTTGGTTAACTATTTAATGCTTTTATTTATTCTTGACAAAATATATATATATATTTATCATATTAAGTAATATTAGTAATTTCCCTCGAAACGAAATTGCATCAAAAGATTCCCAACTGTCTATTTTTCTTGTAAAAATCAGCTGATTGTAAGCTCAATTGCTATTGATGGGATTGCTGCAATATCTGCAAAATTGGTGAACCACCAATGTATCAGCGCACAGCGTGTTCATCTATATTAACTACCTTTAAGAATATCAAAATTTACCAAATTTGAATCATCAGAAAATAGGAAGAAGAAAAAATTTTCAAAATTTAGGGAAGCACCTTCCATGCTCTTCAAATTAGAAAGAAATTTTTGTTTTCACACGTTAACAAATTAAATAAAGTTTCAAAAACCACACATTTTAAAATTATTGCATGCGACACATGGTTAAAACAAGACTAACACTAGACATGGTTTTCTTTTCACTATTGGTTTTCCCACACCCTACTGGCATTTTGTATTCCAATCACAGGAGAGTGGTGAATAAGGATAAGGGACCTTTCTAAATTTAGATCAAACTAGGAAATTAGATAGACTTTGATGGCCTTCTATTCTTCAATCAAATTTTTATAATTTTGTTCGAAGTTTTTTTTTTTATTACTTTTTCCGTGCTTTTCCAGTAGAAAATATTATTTGGAATATTACTACGGAAAAATCAAAAACTTTTCAAGGACACTATCACAGAATTTAAGGACTTTTTTCAACATAATTCAAAGACATGCAATTAATTTACTTTCGTAGTGATTTATATCGTTTCGATTTCAAGATGAATAGGGATCGGCCGAGTATTCCACTACTTAATAGCAGGGTGTAAATGATTTTAATCAAATGATTAAAATCATTGATTAAAATCATGATTTTTTTTCAAAAATCACTGATTTTAATCAAAAAAAAAAAAAACAATTTTGTGTATAGTCTTGAACATTTTTTGTATATTTTTTTAAGTTTCAAACATAAACAAGTAAGTAGACTGTTCTATATATTTCTCAGATCTCACTCATATAATTCAACATTTCTACTTTGAATGTGACTCATTTGCTTTTAAAAACAGTTTACATATTATATTTATAGTTCATTGAACAGTTTACATATGATTACAGCTATGATAGCAGCATGGAACATTACAAAACAAAAACAACAGCACCTGGAGTGGAAGTTGTAGTACATATTGTTAGTTGAAGTATAAGTATATATTTTTTGGTAGAAGTTGTAGTGCTAATTTTGAACTTTATTTGTGTTTTGCGCCATTTTCATTCTTTCAGTTGTGAATTAGTGTTTGTTAGCATACTTAGGGTAGCTGGGATAGTCATTTTTACTTATTATTAGCTTTAATTATAATTTGAAATGTCTGCTGGAAGGAAAAAAGATCCCATTTGGGTCTATTATAATGAAAAAATTGAGTTAGGAAAGAAAGGATCTAAAGCAATATGTAACTTATGCCAAAAAGAAATGCAAGGATTGGTATCAAGAATGAAAATGCATCATGAAGTGTGTGTAGCAAAAAATGAAGTTGAAAAGAAGAAAGATTGTGAACAAGAAAAAGATGCTTTAGGTAATTTTTTTATTATTATTATACTGTTATTTTTTAATTCATATCATAATATTTTAAGTTCTTTTTTTTACATTAAAATAAAAAATAGATAGAATTACACTTATGGCTCCTTTTCCTTTCTTACACAGATGTTACTGCTACTTACAACAGAGGAACAGATAATAAAGCTCAAATTGAAAGCCAAAATCTGCCAGATCCTTGTAATAAGCGTATTCAGTGTGATGAAGATTTGACTGCTACTGATACTGACATAAAGATAAAGAAATTCAAGACTACAGGTATTAGCCCATTTATAGTGAAAATGCCAACCAATCTTAAAGATACACTAGATTTACAAGTAGCCAAATTCTTTTTTTCCTCCAACATATACCTTTTCGATCTGTTGAAAATCCACATTTTCTTAAGCTAATGCAAATGCTAAGACCTGGGTATAAACCCCCGAGTGAAATTGATTTAGGCAATCGTCTCTTAAGTGCTGTTCATGAACATGAGATAGAAAAGATTACTGGTGAATTATCTGAACAAACGGTATGTATGTCAGTGGATGGTTGGTCTAATATACACAATCAACCATTACTTTGTGCATGTGTTACTACTATGGAAGGTAATACTTATTTAGTAGACACAATCGACACATCCTTAACATCACATACTAGCCAAAATTTAGCTGCTGCTGTTACACAAACAATAATAAATGTAGAAAAAAAATTTAAATGCCGTGTACGTAGCTTTGTTACTGATAATGCTTCAAATATGGCAAAAATGAGGGACGAATTAAATGCAAAATTTGATATAATATCATATGGCTGTTCAGCTCATTTGCTCAATCTTTTGGCAAAAGATTTGCAAGATTCCATGCCTAATGTAACAGAACATGTTTTACAAGTTATAACATATTTCCGAAATCATCAAATAATTAGAGCTAAATACAATGAGCTTAAAGGTACTGGATTAATTCGGCCAACTGAAGTGCGCTGGAATTCTATGTGTGATTCATTAGAAAGCTACATCAAGAATTGGTCAACTTTCATGCAAGTTTGTGAGGATAATAGGGATGATATCGACACCAATATCAGGTCAAAAGTCATGAATATGGCAATTAAAAGAAATGCAGAAGATATGCTTTTAATGTTAAAACCCATTTCTGTAGCATTAGATAAAATGCAAAAAGATAATTGTAGTTTATCAAATGTTGTCAACATCTGGAAAAATTTAAAGGAAACTCTGAAAGATTCTAATAATAATTGCTGCAAAAATTTTTTTACTAAACGATATGAACAAGCGTTAACACCAGCTCATTTCCTAGCTTACCTCTTGGATCCTAATTCTGAAGTACAATGTTTAACACTAAATGAAAAAGATCAAGCTGTAAACTTTGTTAAAGAAAAGTATGGAGAAACCTCCTTATTAAGTATTTTGCTAAAATTCATTGTATGCTCTCCTCCGTTTAATGGAACTTTGTTTGTTAAAGAATCTCTAGAATCTTTAAACATCTTGGAATGGTGGAAATCAATTGCGCTTCTAAAGAACTGTGTAGGTCAAAAAGAGTTTGATGCAATACAGTTGTTATGTACTGCAAAAGGAACAACTGCAGAGATAGAGAGGATGTTTTCCACTTTTGGACTTGTACATACTAAACTACGGAATCAATTGGGTGTAGAAAAAGCAGCTAAATTAGTCCTTATGTTTAAATCTTTAAATAAAACTAATTAAATGATTGTTTAAATAATTTGATATTGTAGATGTAGAATTAATAATTATCACATATTGTTTGATAAACAATTTCTTTCTTGATTTGTAGTTTGAAATCACTTTGTTATTGTTTATTTCTTATTTCACCTTTTGCTTTTAAATTATTAAGAAATATTTTGTTGATAATGGTGAGTAATGTTTACTTCCAATGTATACCATAAGTAACAATAGTAATACAATACAACTTTAAATCTATGGTACACAAAATTGATTATATTCCATAGAATTGAAATTATAAAAAAATCATGATTAAAATCCAAAAATTCCGATTTTTTTGATTTTTTAAAAAAAAATCATGATTTTTATACACCCTGCTATATTATCAAAATTTAGGGAAGCACATTCCATGCTCCATTCAAATCAGAATGAAATTTTTGTTATCACACGTTAGCAAATAAAATAAAAAGTTTCAAAAACCACATTTTAAAATTAGTGCATGCGACACTTGGTTAAAACAAGACTAATACTAGACATGGTTTTCTTTTCACTATTGGTCTTCCCACACCCTACTGGCACTTTGTATTCCAATCACTGGAGAGGGGTGAATAAGGATAAGGGATTTTTCTAAATTTAGATCAAACTAGGAAATTAGATAGACTTTGACGGTCTTCTACTTCTCAGCCAAGAAAACTGTGAAATGAAAGTGAGTGATCGAAATTTTTATAATTTTGTTTGAAGTTTTTTTTAATTACTTTTTCTGTGCTTTTCTAGTAAAAAATATTAATTTTAAAATTACGAGAAAATCAAAAACTTTTCAAGGACACTATCACAGAATTTAAGGACTTTTTGGGGCCATGATTTTTTTCAACAAAATTCAAGGACAAGCAATTTATTTACTTTGTATTGTAATGTTGCTACTTGGGCACTTTTATATCTAGTTGTAGTTAAGCATCTGGCTATCATTTCATCTATTTAATTGATTACAAACTGCAAGAAATAATTTCATTGTGCGATATTGCCTGATCTGACTACCACTTGAAACTAAGTAAAAAGTTTTGCAGTGATTTATATCGTTTTGATTTCAAGATTAATAGGGAACGGTCGAGTATTCCACTATTTAACAGTGAAAACTATCATCAGCGGTGTATAAAAATTAAGAGTTTTGTTAACTAAGAAAATAGCAAATTTGCTTATCGAAGAACCAAATAGAACCCGATCAAATATTGCTTTTGTAACTCATTATTTATCATAATTTAATAAATATCCCAAAGAAAGGCACATGTTTTGCTTTGGCTAAAAGAGTTTTGAAATATTTGAATGGTTCAAAAAACAGAGTCATGTTTTATAATGAAGAATTTGGTTCATTAAACTGTGGTGGGGGTGCAAGTTGGAGCAACACAGAAGAAAGAAAATTTTTACAAGTTGTTTAATTATGATATGTAATTCTCTTATAAGGTGTCTGAGTGGTAGCGCTTCACGCCCCATTGCCACAGGTCCTGGGTTCCATCCTGCCAAGGCTGACTCAGCCTTTTATCCCTTCAGTGGGTCGATGAATGAAAGAAACACTGAAAGTTTCGCAATCAGCTGCTCCTGCTCCGCAACATCTGCTCCAGCATCCCAGAGCCCAAGTTCAAGAAAACTGAGATGGGCACAGTAGGCCTTGGCCCTGTATGGGCTGTTTCGCCACTGAGTTTAGTTTAATTCTCTTATAACATGTAAAAGTAGAAAACGAAGGACTATCAACATGTGAAGCTGTATTATTAGCTGCAGCTGACACAGCTAGATAAGTTATTTGGATTTTAAATATGCTAAATAAAATGAACGATAAAAAATTTATTAATGCTCCTGCAACTATATTTCATTTTGTGAGAGATATCATTGAAGACAAAGCAATAAAAAAAATCTTATAACAATAATAGTAATAACAATACAGATTTCTTAATTAAAACTGCAACATTTGAGAAGTTAATTTTCTCTTTGGAAAAAATAAGCTTCATTTGAAATTATATCGAGAGAATTAATATTTCAATAAGGATTTTTATTTGTATCGAAAAGTGAAATCTTTTTTTTCAGAGAGAGATTGTTTTTCTTAAGAGGGAAGGATTGATAGAAAGTATTTTTTTTTTAATACCGCAAGATAGTGTCTTTTTTAATTTTTATGTATTTGTCTTCTGAATGTTGATAAACCTCTCTGAATTGTAATCTCCGCGGTCCCCAACATTATCAGGACTTGATATAATTCCAATTGGTTAAGCGGCGTATAATAACGGAAATTCACTATCATCGAATAAAAAATACTGGCTTTGTTCAGAAAGAAGTACCATTTTTGCCAAAGATCTAGAGAAATATATAGATTCTTCGGTAGGAAAAAAATCATTCACAAAAACAGTTCTTTTGCTGAATTTACAATTTTACCACATGTGGCAAATGCTTAACGTGAGCCTTGTATAAGCATGTTAAATGCATAATAAAAAATTAAAGTTCATATTTACTCTTACATTTTCCGCATGGAGGTACACTATAGTAGATGGTAAAACTTACTCCACTTAAAATAGTCAAAGAAAGAGTTAATGTGCAATATGATACATGCATGATCACTGACATGCCTAATCTGCCATTATTTGATTTAATTAAAAAAGTGGTTAACTTATCATAACAAAAGTACATAACATAACAAAATAATATACATATATCAAAAATAAATGCATTACCAACTGTTCTTTTATCAAAAACATTTTTTTTTTTGGTCACTGCCACAATAAACAAGCATTACTACATATATACTACTTGAATGAAAAAAGTCATACCTAAATATTCCTTTTTCTTTTTGGTGTTTATTGGCTTCAGCACGAAAACATCTGCTTACAGCACAAATCTTTAATGGCAACTCATTAACATCTAATGTCTTTCCAGAAAAATAAGTAGCCAGTGCCATTTCAGAAGTTCCTGATAAACAAACCTTAGGAGCCCACTCATTGTGAATATGATAAACCTAAAAAATTTTCAAACAATACATATTTTTCACTTACTGAATTGAAAGCTTTATTTTGAAAATTAAAACTACTATAAATACAAATTACTGCTGGTATATAAAGTAAAAACTTAAGTCCTTAAGATTTTTAAGTCATAACTTAGGAGCATTCAACCTTCATACCTTGGGCAAACTTTTAAACTTTAGCAAAATTGACATATTTTAGATCAGTTATAAACTTAAAATGTACACTTTGATGTCAGGCAATTTGATTTGGACTAATACTTAATTAATGCTTTCATTTTCAACTGGAAGCTCATGGTTCATTACATTTAAAGAAATATAAGAAATTAAGGACTTAATTAAGCACTCCATTTTTAATTACTTTTACTTCAATTTATTTGTACTGCAATCATTTGACAAAAAAATTATTTTTGGAAAAATATAATTTTGGTAATAGAATTTTAAATGGCCATTTTTTTTTGATACAGCTACTACAAAAAATGTTCTCAGATTGTTTAACACATGACAAAATTGCTGTGCTCACATTTAATGTTCAAGAAA